TTTACTCTTGTATATTTTGTGATAGTTAATTATTAAAAGATATAATAAACATACATAGTATGTGATACATATGTTAAAAAACTCCTTTTTTTTTTTTCGTAAAATAAAAAAAATTTACTTTTAGCTAACAAAGTTAGTAGTTTGGTCAATTTTAATGAGTAAGAGGTTAAAATTTACAAATTTAATAAGGTGAGGATTAAATATGTTATAATATAAGATAATGGGTTAAAACCTTCAAACTTGGTAAGGTAAAGGACTAAAAGTAGGTTTTTGCCCCATAATGCCTAGATAGGCCTTCAGATGGCTTTGAAGCTATAGTTAACACATATAATAATCTAAGCAATTAAGAACAAAACCTCATCTAAACTAATTATAGAAGTAATTCTTTGTAAGGGCACAAACAAGAGTTATAGTGTTGATAGACATTCATTTTTGACTGTCTCTAGCGTTTGAAAGTCCCCTTATGATATAACAGCTTCATTTTTAGGGCAGAAAAATTGGTCACCCCCAGCATTGTTTCCTCTACCATGGTACAAAACTCTATAAAAATATTGAGAAAGACTAGGTAGAGACCCTCAAAAGAGAGAAACAAACTCTCTTCGAAAGAGAAACCTTCAAAGAGAAGAAGAAATTTCCACCTCTTGTTTATCCTCCACAGCCGCTGTGGGTTTGTATCCACATGATGTCAACAGTTTGGTCAATCCCTTCAAGGTTTCATATATTTTCTTGGTTTCAGGATGCCTCTCATCCAAGGAATGGAACTCAACCACACCATCTTTGACTTCAATCAAGCTACACCCTGGTAATTTTTTGAAACCGGTATCTCTCATTGCAACTTTTAATCTTGCCACATCTTTCCATTTTCCAAGATCCCCATAAATGTTTGAAAGCATGACAAAGTTTGCAGGGTTCTTTGGTTCAAGCTTAATGAGATTTTGGAGAGCCAGTTCAGCAAATTCAACATTTTTGTAAATCCTACATGCTCCAAGCAAGGCAGCCCATATGACCGCATCTGCTTCCATGGGCATCCTCTTCACCATATCCACAGCCTCTGCTAAAAGACCAGCTCTGGCTAGCAGATCAACCATACATCCATAATGCTCAATCTGAGGCTCAATTGAATAATCATCAACCATTGATTGGAAATATGCCATGCCATTTTTAACTAAACCCATATGTGTGCATGCACATAAGATGCCAATAAAGGTTATTCCATCTGGTTGTACCTTGGCATTATTCATTTGATGAAATAAACTTAGAGCATCAGCTCCACGTCCATGCATAGCTAAGCCACCAATGATGGTGTTCCAAGTGATAAGATCCTTTCTACCCATCCTATTAAACACATCTACTGCATTCTCTATGCTCCCACACTTAGAATACATGTCAATCAAAGCATTCCCAACAAAAACATTATCCTTGTATCCATTACTTTTTGCATACACATGAACCCATTTGCCCAAGTCAAGAGCTCCTAATCTGGCACACGCAGACAGCACGGTTACAAGAGTGGCATCATTAGGACAAACATCGCCATCAATTAGCATCCTTTTGAAAGCTCCCAAAACATCAAAGAAACACCCATTTCGTCCATACCCTCCAATCAATACATTCCAAGAAAAAACATTTCTTTTAGGCATTTCCTCAAACAGTCTCTCGCACACCTCAAAATCTCCATTAGTTGCATAACCATTCAAAATTGTGTTCCATGACATCACATCTTTATTTGGCATAAGATCAAAAAGCTTTCTGGCCTCCACCATTTCCCCCATTTCAATATAACCAGAAACCATAATATTCCACAGGACAATGTCCCGCGTAGGTGCCAATTCAAAAAGTCTCCGTGCAGAAACAACATTTTGACACAAAATGCATCCATTAATCATCACAGTCCAGGCAACAACATTTCTCTCAGCCATTTCACCAAACACCTTATAGGCTGCTCCTATCAATCTCTCACCCGAGTACAGCTCAATCAACGTAGTACCCACAAAAGGATTAGCTCCAAAACCACCCTTTATCACATCACAATGCACTTCGTCTCCCTCTCTCCATGAATTGCCCTCCAAGCATGATTTAAGAACAATTGGAAAAGTGAAGCAATTGGGAACAATATCCCTGCTTTTCATTTGACTAAATAAGTGCATAACTTGCTTGTAAGCATCATTCTGTGCATACCCTTTAAGCATGGCATTACATAGCGCAATATTTGGCTTAAACACTCGATCAAACACTGTGTGGGCACGCGACATTTGCTTCAAGTGACCACATGTTGCAACAAACCTTGGCGTGATATAGCAGTTCTCCTCAAAGCCATGGCTAATTACCTGGGCTTGAATTTGATGGAGGTGTTTTGAGGTCTTACATGACTGCAAGAGGTAGATGAACTTGTCTTCAAGAAGTCTGTGAGGGGGTTTTGTAGCTGAAGAGAGAGGAATTTTCACTTTCTTCGGGGGGAAAGTAGCAGTCTTGGCAGATTCAGAAACAGAAATGAAACTACACGGCTCCCACAATCAAACAATAAAATTCATATCTCCCCTGTAATTCTTTCTTGAAGCAGTTAATGAAGCCATCCATTCCTAGAAGCCATCCATTCCTAGAGAACAACCTGTGTTGATGACGACTTCAACAACAGAATAATAAGTGTGAAATGTGAAAAAAACAGGAGTCATCAGTAGCTCAAATAACCCAAATAATAAGGTGAAGCAAGTCACCTGAGGAGGGGCATATGCACACCTCACAACCTTGGTGAAACACGGTTGCATAGGCTAACTTTGGGGATCGATTCGAATATAGAAAACAAGCAAAAATCAGCAAATTCAAACAACCAAATGGTTTTGTTAAAACCTTCTATTAGTGTTTTTTTATGATTTTTATTTCTTTTAACCCTTTTTAGCATTTTCTTTTAAAATCTTCTATTCAATTTCAGAATATCACTACTGATATCATTCTCCAGAATCAACAAAACAATTTCCCAGAAACATTTAGAAAATTAAGTGCTAAGCCTTCTATCTTAACCAATCTCAAAATTTTCTATTTCAAACCACAATTCTAACACAAAATCAAGTCACTTTCAAGTAGAATTAAGGCAATCCACAGAGAGTTGGGTATACCCGAAGTTAGAATTGAGAAACTCTGGATTCTGCCCTTATTATCCCTGTTCCCGAGCATTCCCTTTCAATTCCCCCCTTTTTTTAACTTTCCAGCAGCTGCTAAGATCAATCTCTGGATTCTCCTTGTGAGTTTTCTCAAGAACTCAGATTCTGCTTCCTTTTGTACACCCAGATCTTCAATCCGTAAACTTCTCTTTCCCCACACCTTTCTGGCCCTTTTTCCGAATCTGGTTTAGCTTCAGCTTCCTCCGACCAAATGATTGCTTGTGATTTTCCTACGATTTCCTCTTAAGATTTTCAATTTTTTTTTCCTGGTATAGATAAGAAGCTCTCCGGTTGTGGGTTTTTTCTTAAGGGAACGCTAGTTAATGAGGATTTGGAGAAAGGCAGAGATAAGTGTAGCAGGGAGACAAGGGGCGGCAGAGGGTGGAAGCAGGGAGGAGAGCGAACAGGCAGTGAGCATGAATGAAGTCCTCGCAGAGAGGGAAGAAAGGGTGTGCATTTAGTAAAATTACCAAATTGGTAGTTTTGTCATGGTAAAATTACTATTTGGCAAGCCCAAACAGTAATTTGGTAAACAGAATCTAGGTCATGGTACCATAATGAGATGGAGGCCTATTAGCATATTACAATAATAAGCCTCTAGATTACCACTCTTTCTTTTTTTTCTTTTTTTTTTAGTGGTAGGAAATTAATACATACTAAGTAAGTGGAAAGTGGGGATAGGAATATATGGAGCTCAAAACTGTAATTTACAGGTGATGATTTGCACTAACTCAAAATATAAATTATTAGATTGAAATGTGAGAATTTTAGTTTATCATTTTTTAATGTGTTTATATAGTTTTATTAATAGTTTTGGTAATTTTTTTTGTACTTAGTTATTCATACATATTATGAATATTATTTATTTGTATTAATGCTATACGATCTTTTTAGCATTTCTATTTCTTTCCTTTAAAGCTGTGTAGCAAGAGTTATATGGCAAAAGCAAAGCTTGAACTATATTTGTTTTGAAATCTTTTAATAAAACTGTGCTTTTATATAAAAAAAAAAGATTAAGGGTTGCTAAGTCAACTCTATTAAACAATGAAGAGATTAGACCAACATCCTCTCATATCATATCCAACATATGGGCAGTAATTCAGAAAATTGCAGAATTTGGAATTTATTTATTACCCTTTACAAAAATGTTATTGCCATTACCCATATTCATTCTTTTTTTAAGGGTTTTTTTTTTTTACTTGGCAGTTAAAA